ACGGTCAACAGGCTAGTCCGATAAACTCGGCGACCATGGGCGAAATGCATGTACCCTTAGTCCGCCTACACGCAATACGAAACCAAAGTAACTTCGCGTAAGGTTCTTAGCTGCATGGCGGGATTGTGCCTCGGTACGTTCACGCGTGTGTACATATCTAACACAAAGTAAACCTACAGTGGCGGGTGGCAAGATTGCTAGCGTCGTTCGATTCCTTTGAGTACATACGGAAACGTAGTAAAGCACACTACGAGGCGTGATTTCCCCAACGGCCATGCAGACACTCGTCGTCGGGAAAGTCAAGAGTCCACCATTAGACCCAATTCTCCAACTGAGAATCATTTCTAACCCTAGCTGATCGGGCGCTTCTGGACTGTTATTTAGCTCGCGTTACACTAGGTCTGCACAAGAATATCTTTCACCACCGCGTTGTACGGTACCGTATGTTTTGCTACTCGTTTGGTTTTCGCCAGCCGAGCTCCCACCGTCTATAAAGCCGCAGCCGTAGAACCGCAAGGGTACTTGTTCATGCTCGATCCATCTGCTAGCAGAAGTTTGTTGTGACACTAGACAGAGAGACTCTTATACTTTCAGTCTCGGGTGGTCACAATGCGGAGCGATACCATGCGCGGTAACGTTCGAGAGTGGTCGACCTTAACTGTTTTTTTTGTTGGCGGATCGACTTCCTGTTGAACACTCGAGCTCGAGAGCATACAGATCTGGTTTAGCCAAATGGAGGGCACATTCTGCGTATCCCGTCATCCAATACTCATGCTATTGAGGTATAGCAGCTGACGACAGAGTGCGATAGTACTTAGTAAACGGCCGCGCAATTACCCCGTCACGTCCTTAATTATGTCCGTGGAAGCGGATATGCAAATTGGCGGGCTTACACTATATTCGTGAGTGGCGAACACCCAATTTGTGGTGGTCGATCAGTATTATTCGTGATAGAGGTCAGCGCTGGGGGAAGATGAGAGAAATAAGTCCTCACTATTAGCCAGGACGGGGAGTGGCGTATGGATCGTAGTGCTACCCATTATTAGCATTATTGTAGACGGCCGGCATTCGAACATAAGAAGGGTCTTGCCGTTGAAAATCGTGTGAGTCACATTAAAGTTGTAGCTCGGAGCCCTTTTTTCTCCCGTTTTTACCAGACCAGAACCCGACGCCGGCCTATTGACTGCAGAACGACGCGGTGGCAATCGCTTTCTGATGATTAAGGGTGCAAAGTTGATGTTTAGAGGGTCCGCGTCACGCTCTCCCTTGCGAAACGATGCGGCACTTTATCCGCCAAAGACGTGCAAGCACAAGGGAGCACGTAGCTATTGGCCCGCTAGTAAATTTGGCTCCAAAATTTCTTTGTACGGGTCATGGGGCGCACTGCATATACCTGTACTACGTGCGTTAACGCCGACTCGAAGATATCATCCATGTATAACGCGAGCTTGGTCATGTCTGTCCATTTCATGAGCCTGAGAAAGGGAAGTCAAAGGCAATGCGACTTGCACTCTGATAACATAACTGAACGATGGAATCGCTCGGCAATGTCCCATGGTCTTGAGCCTTTCGCATACGTAGGCACGATGTAAAAAGGACAAGCAGGAGTCTGTACTCGGGGACCATGAAAGCATGGGAACAACCTCCGTCCTTTTAAGGACGAATGTTGAATAGAACACTAAAACGCTGTAGCAGACATAGGAAATGCGCGCGGCGACGTTTGACGCTCTTCGGGGCAATCAATGCAAGCAGACAAAGAATCGGCTGACAGGCGACCAAGCTGCACAGCCCACCATTCCAGTGATCTACAGATCTTGATCTCGGCGAATATTATCCAGATGGTCTAGGACACTTTTGAAGCACGAATCAGCTGATGCATTGAACTACCCTCTTCCTTCATCATTGGTATCGCAGGCGGTGCATAATTATGTAAGCGACACGGGTTGCACACGTCTAGATCAGAAGACATTTGTCTCACAACCCACGCGCTGTGGTTCACGTAGGCAAGCTCGAGTACACTTTACTTGGTGCTGGATGGTTCAAGAACGTCCTCCTGTGTTACTAAGAACTCCGCAGTCAGCCGAACACACCAGAAAACCGGATAAAGCCTAAAAGCTTGATACTTTTCAACATCTCGCTGTCAAAGGGCCTACGAATAGACGTGGAAGTCAGGTGTCGACACATCTTTCGTCAAGAAGATTGTTAATATCGATGGATTGCCGGCGGTCTAAATGACTTCCGATCTTCGCAAAGGCTGTACTTTACAGTCAAATGACAACTTGCGTAACTCGAACCCCGTGCTTTACGACCTGACAAACATCTGAAAAAACCGTGGCGCCTTATCAGTTCACAGGGGACGTCAGGGGTGTATTTTGACATGATGAACCCAAGGTCTACATTCGTGACATCCAAGTCGTTTTATAACTTATGCGCGGATTCTTGCACTCACGAGCCCGGCGCCCGACTGAGTAAACAACGCCGGGTCGAACTGTACTCACAAAACTGGTTGATCGAGTGCGAATACTCAACGAGACTTCGAATGGGACTGCTAACTTGTTGTTACACGCACCACCTCACCTGTAAACATTCCCGAAACGCGCATCGGCCGATTCGGACTCGGCTGAGGAGGGCGGTAGACAACTTTTAGACTTGGGGGGACCTACAGTAATGCGCTGAAATTTGGTCGATGCGTCTACGGGACCGTCTCGTAATTTTCCCATCGATAAACCGTGCGTCCATACGTCGATTAAACCCTCAGTGAACGTTAATGACGAGTCAGAGAAAGAATTTCCTGTCAAACGGAAATATAACAACCTTTAGACAGGGGCATCTCGCTAAGGTTCTATAAGGGCATATCTGGCGCCTACTATAAGTAAAGCGCCAGATTTCTTAGCGCCGCAACAAAGGGAGCTCGGTTACTGTGTGTCAGTGGCACCTCGGGTTACGGTGTTAAACAAAGAAGTCAGGTTTAAAGTAGACCGGCTAACCTACTGAACTGTCTTGGTAAACGGTGCCCGGAGACTTTCTAGGTGCGCATCCCGCACTTGATACTAGGTATTGTGCTCTAACTTGGGAGGGATTGTCACGGACTGGGCGTATCTGAGGCCGCTTTAGCACTTCGTAAGGGTCACACTGTCTTATGCAGGTCCGTTCAAACCTGAAAGGGGCCACTATTCGCAAAATGGGTTCGTTTGCTCACCTTTGAAACGGTCCTATGCGGCAGTCGACTAGGTACTAAGTGATGGCGAGGGAAATCACCTAAACTAGACCGTTATCCCCTAGGGGTAAATGGTTGGCTAACAGCTCTGAGGGTCAGGAAACTTCGTAATCGTATCCATCGTTAGCAGGCACGAAGCATTAGCTATGACTGTGGGAACACTATGTAACCGACAGTAATATGGCAGCTACTAAAATGTAATTATTCATATGAGCATCCGAGATAGATCGTGCTTACGGCGCGGAGCGAACAGTGATTAGAACGGAGAACATATCGGAGACCCTAGGAGTCCTAGAATTGCTGATACAACCACCCAGCTAGCATGCAGCTGGGGTCCGACAAAGCATGACTACGGGCTTGGTTCCCTATGAATGCAAGGCCCAACCACGAAGTAACAACCACCTCGTATTAGCTACAGGGAAGGTATCCGACTCTTGGATTCCATTCGAAGAATGGCGAGTTATAAGAGGTCTTGTGCCCAGGTATACAGGATCAAATGCTAGTCATTGCCGTATCTTTATCGACCACTTGGGGAACTGGCGCCTATCGTGAGGGACGGTAGGGAGATGCGTGCGACTGAGACAGAATGGCTGATCAGTGAGTAACCAGTTGACAATACGCGGACGCAGATTGATGTTGGGAAACAAGTTTAGATGGTGCTGGACGGTCTGCAAAAGTTTCTCAACTATTACTTTTGAATGCAGGTATGCATGCTCAATCGTACGGCGCCGTGACCCATAGTAATGCGACCCAATTTGAATTAGGCGTCTAATATGTGCAAATCTTCCAGTTTGTTCTTAGGCGATCCTCGCTGCAGTGTAAGCGTCCGCGAGCCCGACACAGCGTGAACTCTACGGGTGACCCTAGGGGGTACGTATCGACGCCTGAAAGCCCAGATGGTCGCAGCGTTGTCCCAGTCATGCGAGGTGCCCTCTTGTGTCGAAGCATCCATGCCCCGAACGCCCAACTATAGGGAATCCCAGCCATTTGTACTAACTCCTTTTTCACCTTCTACGTTCCACGGGATCCCATTGAGTGTATGTCCGAAGACGAGACACGTACTAGCGTTAGATGGGCTAAGACCGGTTTGCAAGACGTACAATGCGAGACGGGTCTCGCACCGATTAGTTGATTCACTGTTGGGGACTAAAGCTTTTACTTAGCGCTGAATTGGTATGACACGGACTGGTGATTGTTGTTGTGCATCACCCTTCTAATAAGGGTCTATACTGCTGGCCTTGGAAATTCACGCTGGGGCGGCCCCCTGAGTTTATTGCCAAGTTGGAAAATACGTCACATTTCGGGAAAGTCTAGACGGGACCGGATAGTTCTGGACATTCATTCCCTAGATTAACCCAACCAAACTATCTGTCTAGTTGAAGACAACCCATGCACGGGCCAATTGAGCTATATAGGGCAAAGACGCCTTACTCTCTCACGGTTGTATCGCGGTCTCACAACTCCACGCACTATAAAATCTCCCTAACCCAAACGCGGGCTAAATGCCGCCTGAGATTTTTGTATCGCCCTTCAGTCCGTATGAAGCTTGTGGCTGCAAACTCCCAGCGGGTCACGTTTATCGGAGACAGATGCCGAAACAAATAAGGGATTGAGCTCTCAGCGAGCAGAACTGTCCAACGACCCCTGTCGTGCATTTACACTGGCAGGTGGTGATTAATCGCTAGTAAGTCCATATACAGCGTAAAGTCATTCTGAGATGTACGACACTTAAAACGACAACTTTAAGCTTATTATAGCTGTACTGTGCGGAGAGCCACCTGGACTTCATAAGCTCGCCTTGGGGCGACCTTGCTCCAATTACTTTTTACAGAGGCCAGACTTTCTAGTTCGTGCTGGGCTACTGCAGTTCGCTATGAGAGGCTACCCAGGCATTTGTTGCTGGGTCAATAAGGCGTGCTAAATGTCCCCGTTTGTCCAATAGATAACGATAGACCGAAGGTCAGTCGATCTGAGGGAAGCGCGTGCCAATACGCGGCGCAGCCGTTCGTGCTGACCTAGGGATAAGAACCCTCAGGAGAGGTTTATGAAGAAGTTGGAATGACTAGACAAACGTGCGATGTGCAGATAAGTAACGAAGCTAGGTCTCTGGTACTCTGAGCCTCAGGATGGTGTAGGAACAAGATCGGTTCTATCCATTGTGAATACTTGCATCGTACGGTAGCCCCAGCCCTAGAATCCCGGTACTCCACTCTCCCTACGTAAATATAGCTAGTGACGCAGGGATACATAAGTGCGTGCCTTGACTGCTAAAGGACCCAATGTCAGGGCCTTTAGCTGGCTGTCTCATCTTGGATCCATTGCTTCTGCGTTCATTCCCAACTGTGGCACCTTCGAGAACATATAAGATATCCGTCAGAACTGGCCATGTCGCCGGTTAATTTCAACGTATAATCCAAATGGTCGGGGGGCCCTGTTCAAGCTAGTACCTATCCAGAGCATATCGATTACTGAACGCCGGTTAATCAGCTCTTAAGCTACTTGCACACTCAGAAATTTTTCCGCATGGTTTTGGGTAAGGGTCAACCGGGAAGGCTCTAAATTGGTTTTAGAATACGTCGAATCAAAACCTGGACATCTACCCTTCAGTGTCCCCGGAGTGAGTATAGAGATTAAGTCGAACTTAGGACTGCTAACAACTACAATTATCGCTACACAGAAGTCCGCGTTTTGAGCGGTGGCCTAGGTGGTTTAGCTGTACCACTGTGTCGATACTTTCGCGACGACCGCTTCGGGAGGGAGTACTCAACGCAGGTCATGAGTATGGCGGACGTTACATTCAGGGTAGATTACCATCCTGTCAGAATGTACTGGTGGAGCCTGCACGTAAGACGTCTATACAGTGTAGTGAAACTAACCGGAATTTGTGTATATACCAAATCGTCCTTATAACAAACATCACCCTAACATCAGGCCCTAGTAAAATAATCAGAGCTCAGATCGGTTATATACTCCTAGGTTATATAACCTCTGTCAACGATCGCCGTAGAGGAGAGTGCTAGGGGCCGAGGGGGAGCCGCCGGCGTGAGAGCGAACGTTACTCCCCATACCAAGCTGGCCGATCGTCGTGCTTGGGGCTTGGTAGGTATGGCTTAAGATTGCCGCGTGACTTGTCTTCACTTCTTGCAAACATTACGGATGCACTCGATTGTGAAACTATCGATAGGTTAGCAATGTGACCCTTATTGAGTTCTGACGTAATTCGTGTGGACCAGAACCGCAACTGCCGCAGTCATCTTAAGAGGCTCGCGACCCAGACGGTCTTGACGACATTCGGTTCGCCAGACGTTTAGATAGGGTAAAATTAAAACCTGGTGATGACTTGAGAGCCTCCGCAAGCGTCATTTTACCCACGGGTGCAGGGCCTGGAAACGCGAACAGTCTGCTCTAATGCGCGTTACGTTACGGACTGGTTCTCAATTTGACCTGCTAGCTCCTCGGAATACAGCAACCCCATTTAGAATTACAAGCGCGGGCTTGCAAACTCCTTCATTTCCCTGTTATCCGTAGCTCGCACCGATCCTATCCACCTGTGTGGATCACGTCTCCGATACTGCGAAGTTCCAACCTAACATAACACCGGGTTACACCATCACACTGGAGGAAGTAGACTAAAGCTCATGCAGGGCACGGAGTATTCCCAAGTGAAAGGTCTGAGTGTCGCAGACAAGTCGTTAAAGCAAGAATCACCTATGCCCGACATGCGATCCCTATGTCACTCAGAGACAATAATTCTTGCTCGCTCGCGCATCAGTCTCTTCCGCTCGGCCAGGCCAGGGCAAAGTGGCTGCCTCGGAGTGGACATCTTTTGACTTCCTCTTCGGCCAATAAAGCCTAAGCTTGCAGTCGGTTACCACGTTCATACGGTCATGTAAATCGTGTTTCCCTTTGGTTTGCGACCGGAGCTCCCATTCGTTAGATCCTGTAACTCAAGTTTTCCTCGCGGTTAACGCACCCACTAGATTGTCATATTTCGGGCGGAACCTACTGACTTTGTAAGCACGGTGCGGTCGTAATGGATGTCGATATTTTCTGAGCTGCGCAGTTTTGGCGGGCACAGCGCCCTCCATAACGTGCCCAGCCGTACAACTGACACCCAGGGCATTATTGGTTAGCCGATTTTCTCGTATGGGAAACTCCAACGCTGGTTCAGAACTTGTGACTGACCAATAATGTTCTGTCATACTATGCATTCTATCAATACTCGGGCTTCGACTTCGTGCAGCGGTAGTGACCCGCCTTCGTTGCCCCAAGGGACGGGAATTGTTTTCCATAAAAAACGACGGCTGATGAGATCGTGCCAGGGTAAGACTGTTTCACCTGGTGATCGCGGTTCCTCACGTGTTTTTCATGATCCAGCGTTTGCACCTAAAGAAGAATCCCGCCAGATCACGTACTCGGGGACAGTACGGGAGTCGAAAAGATAAAGAGTAATCCGCGGACCGTCGCCTCCTGCGTGCACCACGACGGGATCTCAGGGGGACGAGGACATCAGTGGTGCTAGGGACGAAACGGTAAACTGGCGCCCCTATTTCTATGCCCCTGCGCTTTACTAA